TACATTCAATTTTACGTTGTCATTGTTATGTAATGTGCCCCTGGAAAATTGAGAAGCCGGTTTGGCAGTCACCCTGTTGAAGCATTTTGCAAGGAAATTTTCAGTCCACATGTTTTTCTGTTTGTGATAGATTTATTGTTTTTTGCTTTAGTTGAATATTCTTTCTGTTCCTCCTCAGTCGGAGAGCTCTGGGTCAGACAGTAGCCCCGAGCGGTCCCACAAGAAGAAGAAGGACAAGGCCAGGTAGACTTGACAGACAAAATGATTTGCCAAATTTGTTGATAGAACGCTGTCTTGTATATAATATATCTATTATCTATTTGTGGTGGCCGAATTTTGCTATTCAAATGGCTTTTGAATGACTGCGCTGATCGACTTGCAGTTTTCGCCAAAAAATTCTTAAAAATATTCTCCAGATCATGGCGCCCTTGTTTTTTTTCAGTTTTGATACAGTTTTGCTGCAAAAAGCTAAATTTCCTTATTTCGCCGATTGCTTTTATAGGCCGACTCTGTAATCTCGTCTCTGTAATTTTAGAAAATCAGGAAGTGATATTTCTCGAGGCGCATTTTGTTTTGAGAGTATAGATCTAGACCTTCTAATTTTTTGCATCTCTCAAGATTTATTGCCCCATTCCAGTAGAGTGTAAATATACATGTAGTAGGCCAATGACTTTCAGTTGATGTTAATGCACCGATCATCCCTTTCATCGAAAGGGGGCCCAGCTAGTATATATATATTAGACCTGCATGTTTGCCGACAATCGTCTGAAATCTGACAATGATATCGCAAGGCCCACCTGTGTCAGTCAATGTGCGAATTGCGAGGCCTGGCCAACTGCCAGCGCCCCCATTTTCTCCCGTCGGCTTTGTCGGTAAATACGAATACGAAAAAGAATGACGACCTAAATTATCTACTTTCAGTTTCGTGCTCGAGCGGCCATTTTGAATTTCGTTTGTTAATTGATTGTTCAGATCATGTGGATTCATTCAAGTCCGACTTACTTG